CCCCAAAACCCCAAAACCCCAAAACCCCAAAACCCCAGCTCTTTCAAGGGAAATTGATCTGATTCCTTAACCATGATATTTGTTCGTCTCTAAATTTTAGAGAAATATTATTAATTTTTTACTACTGTCAAAGTGACAACTGTCTTCTGAGCAACCAGCTCCTGAAGAATTTTGGCTATCCTTGTGTAAATTCTGAATATCTACAGGATTTGACTGCTGAGTCAGCAGCACAGATGATAGTACCGGCATCTGTAACGGCTCATCAGTACGAGATCTAGAGATGAAGGAGTCTGCAGCAAACTCTGTCTCCTCCAAATTTTTGAGAAATTTATAATGTTTGTTCTTCTTCCTTGGTTTCGGAACTGATTTGCTATCGTTGAAAATAGAGCCGATTGATAGTACGCTTCTCTTCTTTCCATTTTTCCTTAAGTCTATGCTAAAATAATAAGGAAAGAAAATACCTTTCATCTAATTCTGGTGAGTCAAGCTGTCTTTCTGGGGTGTTTGTGGTATTGGAAGGCCCTTGGTTTATATCCAGAATGGAATTTCGACCAACATCTCTTGTATATTTTGATATGATCTCCCACCCGCACTCAGGGGATCGGCTAAATTTGTGATAAATAGGCCTACTTTTTGACACGTAATGATTTAGGGGTGTAACCACTTCCAAACACAGTCTTTCTAAAGTTGAATTTTATTAAGGATACAAAAATTAAATAATACATTTTCCTCATTTTTCAAACAAGTTATTCATAGATAGAGCTCTTGAATGTAATTTCACTCTAATATCTTAAGCCATAAGTGACTAAATTGAAGATCAGCTCTCTGTGAAGACGATTTTGAACACTGGCAACTCCCATAAAGATCTCTAAGGGTAAGCACAAACTCTTTCCCCACAGTTTATATAACTTTCTCGGGATACCATTGGACCACAACCGATCATCTGTACCATAAAGAACAGATTTCTCTTATACCTAAATTAAGCCACAGCGCTAGCTTCAGACTTAGGCACCTTAATTTAAATTGCTTTCCTAAGCATTCGTAGAAATGTTTCTATTTTTCAAAATTACATGTTAATTTATTTCTGTAAATTCCGTACAAATAATCGATGATGGAAACCCAGCTTACTTAGTATTATCAGTGGCTTCTTTTGGGCTAAGCGGGCTATAATCTTTAGGGGACTTATTTTTCGCTATTGTTGAAGAGACACTGGGAGGATTTCTGATAGCTTTGCTCTTTATTTTCACTCTAGGGCATCATTATTGTCCTTTTCTACTATGCTTTTTCGTATTTTAGGGTTGTCTTCAGGGTCAGGATCGACTACTCTTGTTGTACATCAAGTTTTGTTCCCCATTAGCTTAGAGTAAGTGCCTAAAATAGGTTGTTATCAGCCGATTTAGCCTGAAACCCTGTGCTGCGTTGTAGGGTTTCATACATTGCAGTGTACTTACACTAAGTTCAATTTTTATAAAATTTAGTGGGGTTTTGGGGTTTTGGGGTTTTGGGGTTTTGGGG